GGTGGGCGGGCTGCCGGACGCGCTGTACTCGAAAGTTGGAGCAGCGGGTGACTGCCCTGCACTGAGAAGGCCTCTAAAGTGTTGGCCAGATCAGCTGTTTGTGGAACCAACGCAGCGCAATGGTTCACACACAACTCCATTGGCCTGCGGTGTGCGTAGAATATTCGACACGACACTGGCAGAATCAGAAGATGTGAATTTGGCAAACAAGTAGACCAATGTTCCGAGGTAAAATATGGAAGCGAAAGATAATTCAGCCAATTTAAATGTTATTCCTGGCTAGTATAACCACAACCAATGGATATAACAGTGAACAATATTCTTAATGATTAGTAACTCTCGTTTATTGATGAGAAAACTATCATTTTCGCTAAAGAAGGGTACGAGGCTTCATTGTCCTGAATTTTTTCCTGCATTGTCTCTCAATCCTGCCACATAAGTCCTGCATTTCATTTGTTTTCTTATTCACTAGTACACTTTATTTTCAATATTTCTGTCATCGAAGAATGTTTCAATGATTAATGCCAGATGTATTTTCTCTTTTTCTCTTTCTTCAGAATATTCTTCGTTAGTTTTAATTGACCAGAAGAGTTTCGTGCGCCTGCCATTCAAAAATTCACTTATGTTTCTATTGAAATTACATACATATAGTAGGCGATACGAAAAATAAATTTGAAACATAATTCTGATTGAAATAATTGGTGAAGCGCCACTTCACCTACTTCACCTGAATGGCCACCCTTGCATACTGACTCTCCGTTTCACTCTATCCTCAACCGTTCTCTTCCTGGAAACCTAACTTTTTTCACCTTCACTGTGTTCTGTGTTTGGTTCGTTCGTAGCCCTCTTCGTATTTGCTTTGCCCCATTTTTGCACAACATTCTGCCATACGCGACCTACAAACTGCGCGGCCTACTTCGCCCTCCGGGATCAGGGTGGTGGTTACGAAACCCTCCGATGATTGTTTTTTCTACATTTCAATGTTTTAGAAAGCTGATATAATTTATATTGCTTGAGATGTGCGTTTTTTTTAAATATTATGCAATGTTTTGCAAGTATTTGTTAGAATTTCCGTTATCACAGCGTCTTTGAGTAAAAAAATACTAAAAACATAATATTCGGAATCATTTTTGGGAGTATTTGCATTATTTTAAGTCTTAGTTCATTATATTTTGTTGCCTTGTTATCTTTTGAAGATACATCAAACTTTATTTTACATAAAAATGTAATATAATTGGACACGTCTATTAAATACTAATATTGATGCAAAACATTGTCTTTTAATAGTAGAAGTGGAAAATGATATTTGTGTTTTGAAATGATTTTTTCTGTGTAAACTGAAAACATATATATTAATTGATGATTGTGATGACTTATTGAGAAAAATTGTCTTATAGTTCAATAGATTCAAAATGTAAGTGGGTTCTTGATAGCGCTCGGCGCCACGTACACGTTGGTGTGGTTGGTGCGCGAGTGCCGAATGGCTAATTGGCGCTGTGGCGCAGGTGGTGCTGGCGCTGTTCGCCGGGACGTGCGGCCTGCTGCTGCTGGTGGGGTCGGGCCGCTGGTGCCGGCGCCCGGGCGAGGACGAGGCCGAGGCGTCAGCGGCGCTGCCTGCGGCGGCGGCTGCGCACGGCCACCTGCAGAACGGCGCGGTGCTCATGCTGGTCACCAGCAAGGAGAACGCCGACCCCATGGAGGGCGTGGTGCTGCGCGCCAAGGACCACCACCCGCCGCCCGTCACCTTCCTGCACCACCCGCACCACCGCTTCCCGCCCGACGCGTGGGACCCGCC